ATCGGGCTTCCAGTCCACTGTCCGGCCATGGCTTCAAAAGCTAGGCGCAGCCACGGAGCAGAGCCTACAGACCAAGAGATGGGGCCACGGGAGGATAGCTCGGGCGCAGGCGGCAGTGGAGTTAGCTGGCGGCGGCAGCTGACACGGGCACGGGCGCGGGCTCCAGGACGTCGGCGGCTAGGGTTAGGGTTCCCCCGTCGTCGCCACGTCAGGAGGACGAGTGAGAGACAGAGTTAGCACGAGGAGGAGAAGGGACTGAGAGATGGGGCCACGGGCGCAGCGCAGGCCTCTTTCATCTTTGGACGGGGGCAAAATCGTCCATACAGAAAAGAGCATAGTGCGCATACGACTACCAGTGGGCCCAAGCAGCTGGAAGACGTAGAAAATGGCGAAACTCAGTGAAACGATGAATTATAATGATAGATCTCAAAATAGACGAATTTTAATGATACATCTCAAACTTCTGAGAATTGTAATGGTACCAAACCAAATAACCCTTATATAAAAGGAGGCAAGAGCCACATGGCCACCACCCCAACCCCACCTCACCGCACCTCCGGCCGACCCCGACGCCGCAAGGTCAGGCTCTCTCCCTCTCCACCGCTCCCTCTCCAGCATGAAGCTCCTGTTCCGGCGTCTCTCCAGCATGAAGCACCTGCTTCGGCGTCTCTTCCGCATGGCCGCCGCGGCGTCCGCCAAGGCCTCGGCCGTCGCGTCGCAGCTCTCCGACACGCGGCGTCTGGGCGGCGATGCTCGCGTCCCGAAGGGCCACGTGGCCATCTGCGTCAACGAGGAGGGCGGGCTCGTGGAGCGGTACGCCATGCACGCCAAGCTCGTCGGCCGCCCAACCTTCGCCGCGCAGGAATACGGGTACGGCTACGGCTACCCCGGCGCGCTCCACATCCCCTGCCCCATCACCGACTTCCACGACCTCCTCCAGCTCTCCTCCGCCTCCACCTGCGCCGCCGCGGACCACCCTGACGACGATGACGCGGCGCTCTGCTACTAATACTAGGCTTCGGATTCGGCTACGACGACACGGCGCAGGAGTATGGGGGAAAACCGACATCACTAGAACTATAGCAGTAACAGTCACAGCTGAAGGTTGGGCAGGATGCACATTTCATGCTTGCCAGCTAGTCTTTTTGAGTTTAGGTTGCCATTAATATATTAGAAATGGAACAGAAAGATAAGCCAACGACAAGCATTCGGAACATCAACAAGCTAATTCAGTTAGCACACTTATGGTCTCTGGAACATCAAAAAATTGTAAAGGTCAAGCAATTTGACAATAGGTGCTAAAAGAAAAACACTTTTGCCTGGCTCAAGAGCTGCTACCAGGCGTTCGATTCTGTCCGCCTGAGTACAGGATGCATGCCTGGCCGGCTCTCTGCGTTGGAGGCAGCAAGCAAACAGGCCCAAAGCAGTGGAGCATACAAGCTTCTTTGTTCTTACGCTTACTCAAGTTTTCATAATGCTGCCCATAATCACTGCTAGCCTTCACAAAGCAGTACAGCTGTAAGAGACAGGAAGAACTTACAAATCTACAAGTGCAAAAGAAATGACAGACAGGCAGTGACCATCTTCAGAAATTTCACATTTGAAAGTATTACCTAAGTTTCACAGTGAATACAAGATGGCAACAAGTACATGTTTGCATGCAAAAAAAGATCATGTTCTTCTACAAATAGCAATGCAAAAATCACAGAACTCTATCGAACTGAGCTAATAGAAAAGGCACCATGGTCATTCCAGATCCATCAGGAGCAGCATGTCAAAAGCACAACCAACTAAATACTATACCATTCATTTCCATCTCCGTTGAACAGGGCAGATGATAATACTGCTACCAGATAAATTAACAGACGGAACCACGAATAGCACCCAACTACTAGTACCACCACCAGACACCCGTACAAACAAGAGGGGAGGGAACCTAGCTAAGCCGAGGTGAACTTGGTGACGGCCTTCGTGCCTTCAGATACGGCGTGCTTGGCGAGCTCCCCGGGGAGGACGAGGCGGACGGAGGTCTGGATCTCGCGGGAGGTGATGGTGGGCTTCTTGTTGTAGCGCGCGAGCTTGGCGGCCTCAGCGGCGAGCTTCTCGAAGATGTCGTTGATGAAGGAGTTCATGATGGACATGGCCTTGGACGAGATGCCGATGTCCGGGTGCACCTGCTTGAGCACCTTGAAGATGTAGATCTTGTAGGTCTCCACGCTCTTCTTGGCCTTCTTCTTACCCTTCTTGCCCTCGCCGTCCTTGCCGGCGCTGGACTTGCCCGCGGGGAGGCGCTTCTCCGCCTTCGGCTTCTTCCCTGCCGGGGCCTTCTCCGCCTTCTCGGCTGCGGGCTCCTCCTCCGCGGGCTTCTTCGCAGCCGGCTTCTTCTCCGCCTTGGGCGCCATCGATGCTGCGGCTTGATTCGAGGTGGGGGCGGCTTCGCGCTTTGCTCGGTCGGGTTTGGGGGTGGGGGATTCGCTGTGTTCGCTTGTGATTGATGAGGAGAAAGAGGGGAGGGGTGTGATCAGTTTATAGACCACAAGGGACGGGCGCTGATTGGTCCAAAGCCAAGTGCCCCGGATCGATGACGTGGAGAGGTGGGAGCCATGGGTGCCCCATCAAGTGGACGGCTGTGATGGGTTTCGACGCGGATTGCTGACGTGTCTGCTGGTGGGTTTTCGGGGCTCGCAGGCCGCAGAGGTGGGGCAGCCCACTTTGTGGAAACTTCTGGGCTTTTGGGGCTTGCTTGGTTTCCATGCTAGCCTGTGCTATGGCCATCATTCGATCACAGGCAACTTCGGGCTTGTTTAGTTTTCAAAAAGTTTTCCAAAAATTACTGTATCATATCAAATTTTGCGATACGTGTATGGAACATTAAATGTAGACAAAAAAAACTAATTACACAGTTTGGTTGAAAATTGCGAGACGAACGTTTTGAGCCTAATTAGTCCATAATTGAACACTAATTGCCAAATAAAAACGAAAGTAATACAGTAGCCAAATTCCCAAAATTCGTGAACTAAACACAACCTTCGGCGATCTTTGAACAAACGTACATCCATAATGTCTCTAGGTAGTGTAGATCACAATGCTTTTTATTCTTCACATTTATCTAAGTTCTTTTTGCCTTATTGTCAAAAAATAATAGGTAAGGGATCACAAGCAAGTTGCCTAGTTCAAATTCTCACTTGACATAAGGGTTTAAGGTTAAGGGAGCCTAATAAGAAGAGTGGATGCACACTTAATACTTTCTAAATACTAATGGAATCCTTAATCATCAATTAAGGTCCTGTTCGGCTGGTTGGAAAAACGGTTGATGCTGATGCTGATTTGTTGTGAGAGAAAAATACTATTATTTCGCTGAAATAGTACGGCTGATAAGTTCAAGCGAACAGGGCTTAAGACTTTCTAACCACTCTAATAAGCCAAAACACTCTCTAGGACCCCAAGAGTGCTCAAGTGCATGAGATGATGGACTATACATAGGCCAAACAAAAAAATAGTTGTTGGAACTTTAGTCAGCCGAAAACAATGCACTGGATTTATCCTATCCCATGTCGGAGAATTCTGGTAGCTTCCACCAGACACAACTCCAAACTAGCCATTATTGTATGAACAAACTCTGGTGCTGCAGCAGAGAATTACAATGACACAGTTCTGCACTATCAAATACACCCTGTCTATAACTAACCTCCGGTGTAATCTCCAGTGCCTTTACACCCCTCAGTCAACTGCATATCCTCTCTATGGTGTCACTCCGATGACCACACCAGAGTTATGCCTTGCATAGTCAAAGCAAAAGCCTACACAAGGCACTATTCCGAAAGCTCCGGTGGTTTCTCCGATGCACACAACGTAGAGCTTCACTGCCTATAAAAGCAATGCAATATCTTCCAATTCAACTCCTTCGAGTTTGGCTTTGGGTTTCATCCATCCTCGGGCTTCATCTGAACTACATTGCTAGTTTTCAAATGTGCACTACATCCACTTAGTAGACTCATTTAGATCAAGCTACTCTTCGTACCCCTCTTCGTAGTACAACCAAAGGAGAAAATAAGAATCTAGCTACTCTAAGTGTATTTCAACACCAAACGACACTTGAAACTACCTTGTCCTTAGCCTTCACGTTTATCTTTTTAAAAAACGATCAAGATCCATAATTAAGAGCATGAAAATCATAAGAGCCCAATTTATATGCATTATTGTGACATCACTAAGTAATGCCGTTGCCAATACATGTTAGCTATTTGTTTTGATGTGAAAAAAAAAACTAGTGAAGGTGGCTAAGCAGATGTGGCTAGTTTTTTCTACTAATTGGAAAATTTGGATGTTGGGTTAGGAGGGAAGTTTTGATCCTGGTAGCCCTCGGCTTATATAGCAACAAAAAGTTCTTCATTCACAATAGAATTGATCTTTACTTTCAGGATACTTGCTGGAATAAAGTTTGTTGCTTAACATTGTTGGGATGGAAATGCCCCGCTGACAGATAGCAGATTTTGGCAGACTTCATAAAAGATAAATGAGTATAAGAAGAATGACAAGTTCTTATATCAAAATGATACGTTTTACTCCAAGGTGCGTGGGCTTCATCTCTCTCGATAGGTTCATCTACAGCGAACTAGGAGATGGTGGTTTTGGTGAGCATGCTGTCCCTGCTCCCTGCACGGCTGCACTAGGTTTCCTGCCTGTACGTTGATAACTGAGTTCTTTAGAAGTGAAGGCTTGAAGTTCCTGTGCTGTCGCCTTTTTTTTTTGGCTGCAAGGTGTATCCAGAGCCTGCAACCTGGGTAATTGATCGCCTCCTAATGGTTACCACGCATTTGATCAGTAAACTATCCAAACTTCCAAAGAAATGGCATAGTATATATTTAACATAACAGAAGCCTTCTTAATTAATCTAACACAGAATTTGCTCGATTAACACGACATGAATGCGCCATTCCAACTAAATAAACCATCCTCACATACTCACCTGTTATTCAACGTTCACGCTACAGAAAAGCTCAACATTTCTCCACTGATCCGACTCCTTTACCCTCAAGCTTCTCCATTGCTGAACCCAAATAGCTGTCGCAATAACCCGGTGGCTCGTGGATAAAGCATGAGATCACATCACGCAGAGTCACAACACCGACAACCTCAAGGTCATCATCCACTACGTATATCCTGTGGGTTATTCTTGATGCAATGCTGTCAATAACACTACCAAGGGAAGCGTCAGGAGTGCAGGTGGGTGGTGGCTTCACCAGGCAATTGTTCCCTGAATCAGGAAGAGTGGAGCCTAGAGTCTTCATGAATTCAATGACTGTTAGTTGCCTGTATGGAAGAAACCATTAAGACATAAGGGATACATTATAAAGAAAGAACACAGGGATGCACACTATAAGATAGCTTGATACCTGAAATTTGAAAATAAGTCGGCTCTAAGCAACAGAAAGCGGATGTCCCTTATGCTAACACTGCCAACAAGTTTTCTTTTGGGGCCTTCTACTACTGGTACACCACCAATCTTGTTATCCTTCATGCACTTGAAAGCTTCTAAGATTAGATCATCACTGTTGACGGTGATAACCTGAAAAAAAACACAAAATTGTCATATCAACATTTACCAGTGTCTGTTGAAGAGGCAAACACATAAGGAACTCTATAATGTAGTGCTTTGAAGGTTGCACAAGTAAATTAATCAGAATATCATAGAACATAGGGAACTGGATCTTCTATTAAAAGGGTGGAATTCAACTGAAGCAGCAATAAAAGGGAGACAAAATAACCTCATCAATGGACATAAATGGAAGTCCTAAGTCTGAAAGAGGAAGTGCAGAAATGTAGTCAAACCAGTCCCTTCCTTTACATTGCTGCAGCCCTTTGACAACACCAGCCTGAGTAATGAAGTTCTTGATGATAGGTTTTTCAGGCTCAATCACAGGGACATTTCTCAATCTGTACTTAGAGAGCAACAGAAGTACAGTCAGCATGGAACTGTCCAGTGTAATGGGGACGAAAGGAGACCAGTGGTATGACTCTACAATCGATCGAACCTGCAGTAGTAAAAGAACAACAGATGATCGTCATACAATATTTAACTAGAATAAAAGGGTCTGAACAAACTTGAATCTTATCAACAAAACACAGTGCAGGTAATAACAATAAAAAAAAGTCAAGATACGTCTAAACTTTAAACCATGGGCAACGGTTGCAATATATGGTTCAGCCCTAGGGTAACCAAACTTCAGTTTAGCCACACACAAAAACATTAGGTCAAGTGTGTTCCTTTGAGTGGACGGATTCTTAAATTTGATCAAAGCTAACAAAAGAAAACAGAGTTACTATTTATTCATTCAGTGGTTACACGCATAACTGTTCAGGCCAGGGCCAAATGTCTTACTGTTGTTGATCTGAAAGGTTCCTGCTGAAGCAAAACTTTGTAGAAATCCTCCCCTAAATGATCTGCAGCAGTTAGCCCATCCTTCGCCACACCCTTTTCAGCAGTTAATCCACCAGCAACAGCAGCACCAATCGCGGCTGCAGTTAAGCCAGCTACAGCAGCTGGGCCAGTTGCACCCAAAGCTGCCACCCCAACCGCACCAACAACACCCATGCCAACTCCGGCAGCAGTTGCTGATGCAGCCGAGAGTGCAACAGCAGCAAGCTCAGCATTTTCTAGTACCCAACGGATGATTGCTGAATAATCGATGACACCAAGGTACCTCCCCTGCCAATCAGTAGGAGCCCCAGGTTCTGGATTCAGCACTGGTGCTGCCCTTATGTTCTGTTCAGAGAGAGTCCTTACAGCGTCAAGAACAGAAGTATCACCGGGAATTTCAATGACTGCACATAAAACATTGAGGATTACAAAATGTACAATATAAAGGAGATGAAACACATAAAAACAATTTGAGTAGCTTTGTATTGCAAAAGTGTGTACCTCGACCAGTTGGAACCTCGGGGAAGGATGAGACTGGAATCTGAGCGAAGGCAGCAGTTAGTGATTCTTGCAAAGACAGTGGCAACTTCTTCTTGGACTGGATAGCTTCAAAGTAGGCATCACAGCTTGGGAATTCAGGGTTTTCCTCAGGCTGATCCATGTCTACAAGAAATCGTTGAAGAATTAATCAAACAGACAACGTCTAGCTGTCACCAACTAACAAACACATCACACATGCAGGGCAGGCAACATCAAGATAAGGTTTGCCAGCATATATACCCATTACCCAATAAATGAAATATAAGTAAGCCTGATTGCCAGAACTAAACGCACAGTTTAGTCTCTAATTAGGTATCCTCTCAAAACGACAGGGTGACATCCCTATTGGGCATTACAACAAACATCCTACCTATAGGCATGATTTCTATCTAAATCATTCCAAACCACAAACAAAAACTCCATCGACTTCTCCTACACATGGAATCAGATAAATCGGCGTAGTGGCTCAGTGACTCCTACAAGAAGATGGATCGCCAGAGCACGAGTTTGTATCACCTTGGGCTCGGATGCAGGAACCAAGTAGCGCCGCCTCCCTGGCCTGGGAAGAGATTGGGACGGAGGACGAACCAGGAGGTGTGATTTTGGCGGATCTGCGATCCCTGTTCCGGTGCCTCCGGTTCTTGGACGGGGATGGGAATTCGCAAACGGTGGGCGGCAGGTTTCTTTCTTGGTTCCAAGTCCAGGGGCAGAGCAGGGCGCCCGGAGCCCGGAGGAGAGGGGAAGGCAGGGGAGGCGCGACTGGAGTCGCCGAACCGCACCACGTGTACGCTGGGTGGGGGCCACGTAAGCAGGATAGAGAATTCCTTCGGTCTATACTTTTCCTTCACTGTTGGGCCGAATTTATCATGTCAAAACAGGCCTATGATCCCACGATTGGGCTGGCCCAACACACACACGAAGCCCTATCAACGGGGGGGGCCTCAAGCCTAATTTGATTATTCGACCGCTGTTTTTTTTTAAATAAAAACAAATGGAAATGAGAAGCTGGATTATTTCCCGGAGTAGTTGGCCGCGGAAAAGGCTCATTTGCTAGTTCAAGAATCAAGAGTTTGCCTTTGATTAATCGTGAACTTTACTGATTAGTACTACTATCTTTTGTTTCATTTGACATTTCCAAATTCATAACAGTCGTATCCTTCTTTCTTCCTCCTCTCCTAGTAGGAACACCGATGAGCCACCGGCATTTCCTCCCTCCATTTCCTCAATTGAACTTCTTCACGACACTATTGTTCTTGGCATTGTCCTTGTCTTCCTTCATTTTCTTTGGTGGCTCCCTGCCACCAAATTTGTCATTGCCTTCCACTCGACAGGTTGACCTAGCATACCGTGACACCTCTCTACCCTCCCCGGCGGCATCCCATCTACCGATTTCTAATAGCGCACAGACCCTGGAAAAAAAATCGCTACATCGCGTCTGTAGTTCGGATCGGCTGCATACGAAGTCCTAGCGATCGACACGTTGACACCCAACGCATCCGACACATGCGACGAATGGACGCTCGGCTCCTCCTTTACCATGCTCGGCATGGCTTCATCAGGCTCAAATCACGCTCGGCTTCACCATTATGTCCTATGGGGTTCGGCTCAAATCACGCTCGTCGCAAAGTGGTAAAGGAGGAGCCGAGCGTCCATTCGTCGCATGCGTTGGGTGTCAACGTGTCGATCGCTGGGACTCCGTATGCAGCCAATCCGGACTACAGACGCGATGTAGCGAATTTTTTTCTTTTTCTTCTAGGCCTCATGCTCCTATTGAAAAATCCACTCCTACACTACAACCCAAACCAAACCAAAAATCTGACTGATGATCTTGTCGTCCCAATTATAATTAAGGAGGAGCTTGCCTTCAGCACAAATTGAACAGTCCAAGGAGAAGATTTCGGAAATACCCATGAATGAGAAACAACGCAAATACTCATGTACACACATGCACATTTATTCTATCTGTATGAGCACCTCCTAAAGACTAAGATGCTTCTTGCTGTCAAATGGCACACCATCTAACATTAGAAAAAAATCAGTCATAAATGAAAGTTTCTATGTTGAGTCATAGAGTTAATTCCACCGTGGAAGAACCTAAGCAATCTATATACTCTTATGAAGCTAAACCTCACTAGCTATTTCTCTCAACATGCAAGCTATCCACCTCATCAATTCACTATTGGATGCATTTATGGCCAACTAGCATTTGCAATTATGATCTATATGTCAGTAAGACGCATCATCCTTTAACATGCATAATTGTTTATTGTTTATCCCTTTGTATAAATAATTTTATTTTAAATCATCAGCAATTTCCACGGCAACCTGCGGGATATGCTTGTAGTTTTATGAATCTAAGACATAATTCACTACTGGAAACTCGCATTCTTCTGTGTCTGCGAAAACACACAGAAAAATGCGATTTTTCTGACGGTATACCATCAGAAAAATACACACGGAAATATAATGACAGAAAAATTCAATTGTTCTGTGTGTTCGCCCTCAGAAACAATTTTTCTGTGGGTGTTACATGCACAGAAAAATTATGTTTGGCCAGATTAAAAATAAATTTTCTGTGTATTATTCCTCATAGAAAAAAGAAAAACTCGACATAAAAATCATTTTTCTGTTAGTGTTGTCCCGTCAGAGTTGCAGAAGTGCACTCACAGAAAAAATGTATTTTTCTATCGGGTTAGGTGAACGCACAGAAAAATTGTATTTTTCTCACAAAAGTTACAGCACCACCCATGTAATAATATACACTTACCCATGCAAATTGATAAATTGGATACAATAAACATTTAAAATATGGAGCAACAACATATTAAAATATGGACCGTCCATTAGGTAATTTCATTACAACATATAAAGATGGAGTCCAAATATTCAACATATTTATTCATAGCATCCAGGCTACATGTAGATGATGTCCAAATATTCCGACATCAATACATTCAAAAGCATTACCATCCCATCTCAGCAGTTCATAAATTTCACTACTGATAACTATTGCACTACTATGCTGACAACCAGATCGATGTTGCTACCATTGAAAATGAGCAGCTCTTAGCTCTTTCATTGCTGCTCCTATCGACCTGCAAATAAAGCACAGTAAGCAAGATAATATCAACTTGGCATACATCAGGTAGTAAGCACAACTTTGTTCCAGGTAGTAACTTGGCAGCTAACTTCCAGATGCCAAACTGCAAACCTTCCTAAATTCCAGATGTCAAACCGCAAACCTTCCTAAATTCCTAAGGTAGAAAGCGAAAAATTGGACTCCTGACTACATAGACAAACACATAGAATGTTCCACAAAATCTTAAGAACGTTTAATCTGTGAATCAAGTATCAATGTCAAAGCTTGGATTTGCAAGATTACCTAAGTTGCTATTTCCAGATATTGCACACTGAAAATTCACTATCAGTATCCACTAGCAATACACTTGTAAAGATAATTTACCCTTCCTGGCAAACGCTATGATATGCTCGAGGCCTCAAGTATTTGACAGAATTCCTTATTCAATTACAGGTTACCTTCAACTTTAGTCAAACAAATAGGCATCTACCTGATTTTTTCTGTTTGTTATATCACTTATATGCGAAAGGGACACACCATTATTTTCAGTATCAGAAGAATCATCTTCATCATCTTCAGCTGATGCTAGTCCATTTTCTTCAGGCAGGCTCTCTTCTACTGGCTCCAAGATTGCCGCCATTCATTTCTTTAAAGGCTTTTTCATGCCTGGAATATTTATTAGATCCACCGCTCGAACAACATGAGAACTACTTCCTTGTCTGTATGCCTTTGTCAGGGCACCTTTAACAGCAGGTTGAATCCCATCCATAGGACTTGGATGACCCTACATTATAAAATAAAATTTATTCAGATCCACAATGACAGAGAATGAAGACAAAGGTAAACTATGAAAAACAAGTTTACTCAGCTAGGGACAATACTGCATAAATGCTTCCAACATGTTAATTCGATAAATGCATTTATCTACAAGTTCTGTAACATATTTGTTGTATTTCAAAGTCACTATAGTTTTGTATCCAAGATCCATAAATCACATGATTGCAGATTTCTAAGATATGTACCCATTACATATTTAACGGTTGACATGACATGGCGACAATGCAAGAAAAATGCATTTGTTACACCGAACTTCAGTTGTTACACAGATTTTCTGAACAAAAGAACAATAAGAAAGAATACTAACTTCTAAGATATGCATTTTAGAGTTCATATGATCTGTGATAGGGTGCTTGTACGACTGCAAAAGTTGGCATAGAATACTTGACGGGTTCATAAACCTGGGGTCCCTCGCGGACCGGCTTCCCAAACAAAGGCTTGGTCCAAGCAGACAACGCGCAACTCGTGGGCCAGCCCAGGTATCTAAACGATAGGTCAGAAGGGTGATCCAATCACCGACCGGAGGGTCTGGCCGAGGAGGAACGGCGCCCGTTTTCCGACTTCGGCCCACCTCTCCGACTGGAGCGCTCGCTTCGGTCTCCAGCCCACCTCCGGACGGCCTCTCCGACCGAAAGGCCTGGCCAAAGCACTACTTCCGACTCCGACCCGCGTCTCCGACCGGGGATGCGCTAAGCCCCTGCTCGCTGCTCTTCTCCAACTGGCGCGATCAGAGCCGACTGGGACCAACCGATTAGGGACGCTCGCTCGGTAAGGACCAGGAAACGGACGGAGAAAGTAAGGCAGGGCGCACAAGTCAAACTGCAATACCGGGGTCCATACCCTGTACACCTGCGGAAACAGTACTCTACGACCTCCCTGGCACGTCAGAACCCAAGCAGTGTTGTAGGCGCCGACATTTTCCCCTACAGTATTGTGGGCGCCATTAACTCCCATACGGTAAGGCTTCCCTGAAAGGGTCGAGATGGCGACTAGAGGGGGGGGTGAATAGTCCTTTTTAAAATTAATCGTGTCGGCTAACCGAAACAAGTGCGGAATTAAAACTATCGGTCTAGCCAAGACTACACCCCTCTATCTATGTTCTCTAGCACCTTTCAAAGATACTAATTAAGCAATTAAGGTGCAGGGCTAGCTAGAGCTCTCCTAACCAGTTCTAGGAGCAAGGTCACACAAACCTATGCCACTAGTACTTTAAGCAACAAGGGAGCTCCTACACATGCTAGTAAGCAAAAGCACAAAGCCAACTAAGCTCACTAGCAATGCTCAATAACAAGGCAACCGATGTCAAATTAGAGAGCGCAATTACTTAGCTACACAAACTAAGCAATGTGACTAACAAGGTTACACAAACCAAATTAGCCACGCAAGGGAGCTACTTCTATGCTACACAAGCAAGAAGGTAACTAGCAAGCTACACAAGCTAACTAATTACAAGAGCAACTACACAAGCACAATGTATATAAAAGTAATTACAAGCTTGTGTAACGAGGAAGCAAACCAACGGGAAGAACAAGGTTGACACGGTGATTTTTCTCCCGAGGTTCATGTGTTTGCCAACACTCTAGTCCCCGTTGTGTCGACCGCTCACTTGGTGGTTTGGCGGCTAATTGGCATCACCCGCCAAGCCCGCATTTCGGGCACCGCAAGAACCTACCCTGGAAGTGAGGGTAGCTCAATGACACGCTTTACTAAAGTTGCTCTTCGCGGTTGCCGCGGGGTGAGCACAATGCCCCTCACAAAGCACTTCTCCGGAGCGCCGCACAAGCTTCTTGCGGGCTTCGATGGAGACCACCACCAAGCCGTCTAGGAGGTGGCAACCTCCAAGAGTAACAAGCACCACCGGCTTGCAACTCGATCACCTAGTGCCACTCGATACAACCTCACGATGCAATCGAACTAGAATTGCTCACTCACACAATCAGATGATCACTATCAAGTATGTGTGAGATGGAGGGCTCCCAAGCACTACCACACAAGCCACCAAGGCCCTAGTATGCTCAGCTACCGGCCCAAGGCCGATCATGGCTTCTATTTATAACCCCACGAACAAATAGAGCCGTTACCCCTTCACTAGGCAAAAGTCGGGCCGACCGGACGCTCCGGTCAGGTTGACCGGACGCTGGACCTTAGCGTCCGGTCGCTCGATGACAACCACGTGTCACCTGCTTCAAATACAGTATGCCCATTCTCAACGGTTATATGACGACCGGACGCAGCTACTCAAAGTGACCGGACGCAGCAACCCTAGAGTCCGGTCGTTTCCAGTAAGGTACCAGCTACGACCGGACGTGTCCGGTCAGTCACGATCGGACGCAGCATCAGCGTCCGGTCCTTCACCACCTTCTCTGCGTCGCCTACGTCACCATACGTCAGCCTGACCGGACGCACCCTTCTAGCGTCCGGTCACCTTCAGTGCCAGCGTCCGGTCGAAGACCGACGCCTG